ACAACTGCCACGCAGAAAAAAGGCAAAGCCGGAAAACGCTCTCACTTAATCTTAGTCCTCACTATATAACTTTACTTTAGAAAAAGGATTGAAGTCTCCCCATTTGACTATTGCTAAAACCAGTAGCCTAAACCAGTTCTGAGCAATAAAAAGCATTCTCTCAAAATTAGTCGGATAAGCTCTCTATTACTAATCTCAGAACATATACATATACTATATAAGAAGAAATGTATTGCGAAAAGCTATAATCACAGTTGAAATAACGCATAACATGTTTTAAGCTTAAACCGTAGATAAGTCTTTCAGCTCATATGATGAACTTGCAAGTATATACATATATATACATATATACATGTATGATCAATCAATAAATAATACCAGGTTTTTGAACACTTTAGAAAACAATAAATAACAACTACAAAATAATTTTACATGCATCATACACACAAAATAACAATAACGTCCAGCAGTAATTTTGTGATACATTCATTACTTATAAACTAAATTAACAAAAAAAAGATTTGCAAATGTTTTGCTTTATCCGGAACTTTTTTATAGAACGTTTATCTGTTTTCTGAAGACGGATAAATTAAATTGCGGCAATCAAATATTGCAATATTTTAGAAAATGAACCGGAAATTCAAAATCTAATAATGTTTATTTAGGCAATTATCCGTGAGAGAAGCAAAAAGATCCTATATATACTTTGCGGTTCAGAAGGCTATTAAATACTATATCATATCATATTATATCCTATATCAGTTCAATGGACAATTCTGAGTATAGTAAACTATCAACTGTGCTATCAACATGAAGCAAACACTGGGTAATGAAATTGAAATAAGTAAAATACTTTTAAGAAATAGACAAATGCAACAGACCTTATTATCATTACAGTTAATTTTAAAAACGAACACAATTTTTCCGGCTGCTCCGTAGGCGCAAATTACAGACTTTTTAAAAGTAATTAAATATTGGGAATACATTTTTTACATTAATAACTGCAATTTCGGCACACGTAAATGCACTTTTTGAAGCATTTTAAAAATATTTATATAATTTCCTAAATATTTATATAATTTCCTAAAGTTACGTCTAAAATAATATAAATACTTATCATTAACAGTCATAATTATGATCTATATTGGAACTGTCTGATATGAATTCAGCTTTATTTAAGAGAATATCTTTCATAATCTCTGTTTGTGAGGAATTGGGCTTGGTATTATGTTGAGTTGTCAATTTTCTTTCCTTTTTTGTTGCAAAAAAGGTGATTTGCTTAGTAATTTCTTTATTGGAAGGCTCTCGTACAATTTCACTTGTAAAACATGGAGTACTCCCTTCTTTAGCTTCAGATTCTAGCAGTAAGGTTTCTTTTCTTAGCGTCTTTAATAAATGTTTCAAAGCATCATTACTTATTAAAGCGTCTTTGGAGACAATATTTTGAATTTTACTTGTCTCAGACAAAATATTATCCACAAGCCTTTGTCGGCTTTCTGTCGTGTTACTCTTACTAGAACTTAACGTTTTCAAATGCGTTTTGACTTCTATGTCAGCATTACTTGAACAAGGTTGAGGTGTGCTGCTAGAAAAGTTACGATCTTTTGCTACCGAATGGATATGCTTGCAAATTGTATGTTGTATAAAGTAGTCTAAACATGTACAGCAATATGCGTGTATGCATATCCTGCAAAGGGAGCACTGCAATATGCAACATATATTGGAATCTATATTTTTCGTGACTATATATACATTGCAGTGATCATTTTCGGAAGATACCATCCACGCCTCTTTCTCATGGTCACTTTTTAAAATAATTGTCATTTTCTCATTAAGAGCGTTAGAATGCCTAGAGTTAATTTTCTTCATGTGATAAGAATTTTTGCCTTTAACACGTTTGATAATGCGCTCAACTATTTTATCTCTTATAAATTTATTAAGAGCAAATAAACCGTTGTCCAAACGTTTGGTTTTTTTGCCATCCAAATAAATATGCTTCAATATTTTATGCATATTTTCGAGCCTCACATTAGTGTTAATACCGCAGTTACGGCGATAACAGTAAGCCCATTTTCTTGAATTGCCAACATAATTATTCTTAAAATAGTCACCAAATACAGAACTATCTTGATCCGAGTCTAACTCTGTTATGGTTTTTCTAAGCAACAAACAAAACTGTGACTCATCTGTGTTTGTTTCCAACATTTTTAGAGCATGGTAGACAGATTTCATTTTATTAACTTCAGTTATTTTGTTGAGATTAGACTGTCAAGCCCTATCCACATGCCATGCACAATATAACTGACATTCAACTGTGTTCATCTCATTTTTCCAGGCATTATAGAACACTTCAGTTATGACAGTCATAAATACTTTGGGTTGTATCTTACAGCCAATACGTTGCTTAATTGCTTTGAAAAATAAAGAAAATATATATGTGTCTTTTCTGTTAGTGAAAAGACAGGCTCCTGGAAATCCTTCACCCCATTCATCAACAACTAAGAGCGTAGTTAGCTCAAAATCGTAAGAATTGAGTCCATAGGTACTGTCAATTGCAACAGTATTGCTACCAAATTTTATCAACATATCTTGTTGGGATTTGTTCATAAGAATTAAGCAAAAGTCTTCTTGCTTCAATCCCGAGTCATCAAATTTACCTTGGGGCTTATAATAAACAATTGGATTGTGCTCCATTTGATAACATTCTCTGACGTACAAGTCAACACTTATTGCATCTATAAATCCAAATCAAATGAGTAAAAACTTAAAAGTGATACGAATGCATTTACCGTCAGCATGCCTTGTGCCATCTTGAACAGTTACGCCAAAAGAAGACTTGATATTGGATATGTCTTTTCTGGAAACAATATCCATTCTGTTCAGCTTATCATCGTGAAAATTTCCTCGATAATTATCAAGAATCCTAGAATTGTTATAAACAGATAGTACATCAGTACGTATATACGTATTTGTAGTGTCCATTTAACTGTAGAAACATACTTAGCTTACTAAATTTTAAAAAATGAGACTTGCCTTGTAGCCGAAACACCACTAGCAAGTTTCTGATCTATTATTGCTTTTTGGTTCTTCGGTATTCGCAAGTGTTGTATATCAAAAGTATGATGGTCAGACGGAATGCGGTGCAACCGAGCAGCATAAAAATCTGCCTCTGAAGAAGAGATTAATTCAGATAGGGTACCAGAAATAGTGAAATAGAAAACCCAATTCTAAGAATCCGGGTTTATGGCCGGGTCCATTATCTCCATCCCAAGTTAAAGAATTTGTTGTAAAAATTTGTTGCAAAACAGGGATCATCATGGTCCAAAGGACGAAACGGGGCGAAAATTTCCCGACTTTTATTTTGCACGAATTTTACCAAATAATAAAAAAGTTCCACGAGAGAAAATGTTATTTATTTTTAACACTAAAACCGAGAAAAATGTTATTTATTTTTAACACTAAAACCCTTACCAGAGACTAGGTGGTCTAGCCGAATTGATGCAATTAGTCCGCTAAGGTTTCAATTGGGAGAAATATATGATACTCTCTACGAAATATTATCTGGAAATAATTTTTACAATACTGCGAAACATCTGGCTACATCTTTAGCAAGAAAGATAAAAACATTTCAGTTTATTTGCATGTTAGTACTGTGGTACAACATATTAAAGTTATTATTTAAAGTCATTAAAAAGAGTTAATATTGTTAATAAAATTTTGCAAACAAAAAGTTTAATATGCCTATGGCTACTAACCACTAATTCAAAGTTTCATTTTTACTAACCATGTAATGAATATAGATTTTATTTAATTGGCTTTTTGTCAGAAAATTTAGAAAAAAATATAGAACATAGTAGGTACCTAAAGTCTGTCCAAACTGGCGCGGTCCTGGGCCTTACTGACGAGTCCACTAGGTAGGCCCGGGACGAAACGCATGGTGCTTCAACGCGCGCCGTAATTTAAACTAGTTAAGAACTTAATCCTCGGAGGTTGACGGATTAAAGTTAAACGCGTTTAAGGTTAAAACAGTCGACGGTGCATACCGTTTACGATTTTTAAACCGGTTTAAGGCTTAATCGCGATTAAAATTTATCGGTGCCTTAGGATCAAGCTGTAAGAGAAAATTCCAATTAGTAAATAAATTAATTTAAAAAATTACCTTGACGTTTTGATAACTATTTTCTGCTATCGTTATCAAAAGAACTTAAATGAACCTAAAAAAGAGAATGTTAATAAATTGTGTAACAATAGGAAGATAATAAAATATGACTTTCACTTAATGTCATTGTTTAAACCAATAGAGGTAATATTAATTAATAATTTTGGTGTAAATTGAATTTGGGTGTATGTTTCTCTGGTATACTTCAGATTTTAGCATAGGTAACCATGTATGACTTAAATTAAATGAACATGGAGCAACACAATTATTTTGATTTAGTAAAATAAATGCGCTTTATTTAATTTTACGTTTTTTTGTAAGTGGTTCTATTGCTTAAATTGTACAATTATTCCATTGAATTTTGTGGCAATTATCAAATGCATGTTGACAAATATGTGACCTACGATATTCTCTGTTTTTTATGTATGATTGGTGTTCTTTGATTCTTTTATGCAATGGTCTTGAGGTTTATCCTTTATAAAATTTATTTCATTCGTGAGGAATTTTATAAATTACATTTTTTGCATTTTCAATTTTGTCATGAGGTTTTGTTACTGAAATTTTGCTTCTAATTGTATTTTCCTAATTGTATTGTTTTGAAGATAGTCCTAATATTACATTTTTTACCTACTTTTTTTAGAATAGGTAATTTATGCAGTGTAATAGGAAATAATTTACTGTTTTTAGAATGCTAAATATTTCCAGAGGAATGACGGTAATTTTTCTGAATCGCCGTAAATGTGAAACGTATCCAACACATCTAATTATATGTTAAAAATTAAGTTTAATTCCTTGTTATAAAACATCATATAAAAATATCATATCAAAATAAAACAGCTGATTATGCACAACATTCAGTATATTTAATAGATAGAACACTTGCGACTAAGACTAACATATTAAAATGTATCATATAATAGTTATTAAAATTTTTACAATATGATGGTTAAAAAGTTGCTCCTTCACCTTAAATTAGATTTATAATTTGGGATAAGCGTATATACTAGGAATTGCTGGCACATAATCCGTGTTGTACATTTGAGCTCGAACAAATGCCTCTTTGTCCTTTGGTTCAGGAAACACAGAAGCATTGCCTGAAAGTAAAAAATATGAATAAGAACAAGTTTTATCAATTTACAGTATTTACATAACTCATGTAAAATTTTTGATACGTTTTTAAAATAAATATTCAAGCATGATTCGTTTCTGGTTTGTTTTAGTTGATTTATATGTTTATATAAAAGTATGCTTATTAAAAGCAATAAACGCAATTAAGTCTAAAAATATTTCAGAACTACCTTTGGCATAAGCGAATTCCAATAATTGTATGGCAATCTTCACAGAGCATTCTGTAACCCTGGATAATGATGGGTATATGCTTCCTTTATCAAGATCCTCTTCAGTAACCATGCTGGCCAAAGCCTCGGCCGCCATGAGAAAGTGTTCTTCCCCAATGTTTTTGATACCAGCACAAATTACTCCTAATCCTACCCCCGGGAATATGTAAGCATTGTTTCCTTGTCCAGGCTCATAAGTCTTTCCATTCAAAACAACTGGGGCGAAGGGACTGCCACTGGCAAATACACATCTTCCCTAAAATCAAACGCATGTTCTAATCCTTGAGTTTAACATGATATGTATTATTAAATGAAGATTTTTAGAACCGAAAAAATCGTTTTTCGCAGCTATGTGCAAGAAACCCTTTTACATAATACATTTTCCTAAAAGAAACATATTTAAAAAAATAAATTCAATACTGCTTCAACATTTTTTTGTCCGAGGAAGGGGTGACACGTTTACAATGGGAATGTTGAAGATATTGCAACAAGAGTAACCGTTGACGTCAAAAGTAGCTATCGGATCATCATTAAGAGTATCGTAACATATTATTCTTTATTCGTTTTTCCCATTTTGCTTAAGCCAATCTTTTTCATGTCACTACCAAAGCTAAAGTTCCATGCATCCGTTTATTTGTTAATCCGACAAATTTTGTACCCAGTCATCTCACGTGATTATCACGTCATATTGTTCTCACATTCGTGCATGCGTCCTTGTGGTTGAAAGTCGTGTTATTCGCGAATTCAAAAGTCCAACCGTGCACTGGCGGCTCATTGTACACGGCACTGAGTAACATTTGACAGTTTTTTTGTTCACATTTAGCAATGTGATTGTACTTGTAAGGTGATATCCGCATACAAAAAGATATTATGGATGAGGTCGAAAAGAAACAGTTGACATGTTGTTTGTACACAAAGATAGAATGGGACAACATAGATGGCCTTGAAATATACTATAGTGGACCACCGAAAAAAAACAAAGAGGGGAAGACCCAAAAGAAACTGGATGAATCAAGGAACTTAAACGAGGAAATAAGTTACCAAAAAAAGGATGGAAACTAGAGACGGAGAAACGACGACAGCCGCAGAAATCCGTACATTTATATAATATGTGTTTGTAATTTGTTTTGTGCAAATGACGCTTGTTTACCAAATGTCACTCGATAACGAGTATTTGATAACGTTTTGGAACGCTCCCATCGAGAGTCCAATTCGCCAATTCCTGACCAAAGTTTTGATAAAGTTTTGATTTTTAAACCAGTAACAATTGAAAATATTGTAACGGAAATGGCCTGGGGTACTCACGTTTGGAATGGGGGGATCGAAATTCATGGTATTTCAGTAAATGGGAGCCCCATTTGCGCCCCATTTAC